AGCGGTGACGTTCGGGTATGGTAAGGAGTAAAATGGAGGGACGAGTTGAGCAAGTGGAAACTAATTTGACTGGGGTAAGAGAAGATGTTAGAAGGCTGGAAGGATGGTTCCAAGAAATGAGAGAGTCTCTTGTGAGAATTGAAGCACAAGGGAGAACTGTGATTGCAGAAGCATCCCCTTCTCAAACCAGAACTTTGGGAAGCCAAGAAGAGGGAAGCAATGCTAACTTGACTGGAGAAAAAGATGGGAAGAAATTTCGGAAACTACAACTACCGGTTTTCGAAGGAGAGGATCCTATGGGATGGATTTTTAGAGTGGAACGTTACTTTGCAGTGAATGAAGTTTCTGACGCGGAAAGATTGCAGGCAGTCGGTGTTTGTTTAGAAGGAAAAGCCTTAAATTGGTATTATTGGTTAGAGTCTAGACAACCCGTTCCAACGTGGGAAGACTTCAAAAGAGAGTTGTTGAACCGATTTCATCATTCGCAAAAGAGCAACCAGTATGCCGTCTTAATGGGGCTAAAGCAGAACACCACCGTTGCAGCGTTTCGTGAAGAATTTGAGAAGGTGACAGGTTCTATGAGGGAGGAATCTGATGGACTGTTATCTGGAGTGTTTTTGAATGGTCTTAAAGAAGAAATACGGGCTGAAGTGATGCTTTTGCGGGCTCAGACATTGAGGGAGATAATGGAGATGGCTCAAAAGGTAGAGGATCGAAATTCTATTTTGGGGCAAGTTCAGGTGTTTAATTCTGAACCAAATAGAGGCAGTTCAAGCAACAAACAAGTTGGATTTAGACCCAGTTACTCTCGGGTCACAAACTTACTTGAAGCACGTGATTCAAGAGTCGGAGCAGCAGGACGTAACATTGATTCGCAACTGCATGCTTCATCAAAGCCAACTGGCTTCAACGTGTCTTCTGCAGCAAAGTCCGAGGGACGATTCAGAAGGCTGTCTGATTCAGAAATTGCCCGAAAAAGAGAGTTAGGGTTATGTTTCAGATGTGACGAAAAATTTGGCCCTAACCATCGTTGTAAGAATAAGCAACTTAACCTCTTGATTGTTTCAGAGGCACCTAACACAGAGGAAGAGGAAATAGAAGAATTCTTTGAGGTCGGCGGAGAGGCTGCAGATGAAGGAGAACAAAAGGCTACTATGATGGTGTTGAATATAAATTCGGTTGTGGGCCTTACTGGGGAAAGAACAATGAAACTTGTGGGAAAAATTCATGGGCACGACGTGATAGTTTTGGTGGACAGCGGAGCAACCCATAATTTTATATCTTCCAACCTTGCTCGTCATCTGCAATTACCTATTGAGAAGACCAACAGATTTGAAGTAACGGTTGGTAATGGTCAACAAGTCAGTGGGAATGAAGTATGCAAAGGGGTGAGGTTGGACGTGCAGGGAGTAAAAATTCAACAACAATATTTTCTGTTTGAATTAATTGGAACTGATGTGGTATTGGGAATGGAATGGTTAGCCACTTTGGGTGAGATGAGGGTAAACTGGAAACTTCTTACCATGAAATTTGATGATGCAGGAAGAATGGTATTGCTTCGGGGGGATCCAGGTATGGTTCGGACAGTTGTATCATTAAAAGCTATGAACAATTTGCTAAAGAAAGGGAACCAAAGATTCTGGATTGAGTTGAATCAGATAGTACATGAAGGTGAAACAACTATAACATCAAAGGAGATTGAGGAGTTGTTATCTGATTATCCAGAAGTATGTGAGCAAGCTTCAGGTCTACCACCACGTCGTTCTCAGGATCATGCTATTACTATCAAGTCCGGAGCACAACCACCAAACATTCGTCCATATCGATATCCTCATTCTCAAAAAGCTGAGATTGAGCGTTTGGTCAAAGAGATGATGGCTGCTGGAATCATTAGGGCTAGTACTAGTCCATATTCTAGTCCGGTATTACTTGTTAAGAAAAAGGATGGAAGTTGGCGTTTTTGCGTGGACTATCGGGCTCTTAATGACATCACAGTCCCTGACAAATTTCCAATACCATGCATTGATGAGCTACTTGATGAGCTAGGGGGAGCCACCATATTTACCAAGTTGGATCTCAAATCGGGATATCATCAGATTCGCATTCAAGCTGGAGATGAAGCGAAAACTGCTTTCCGCACCCATGAGGGACATTATGAGTTCATGGTCATGCCATTCGGCTTGACCAATGCACCTTCGACTTTTCAATCATTGATGAATCATATTTTCAGAGATCATTTGCGGAAATTTATTTTAGTATTCTTTGATGATATTTTGATTTACAGTAAGGACTATGCTTCTCATCTTGAACATTTGAAGGTTGCTTTAGATATTCTCAAACAGAACCAATTGATAATCAACAAGAAGAAGTGCGTGTTTGGGCAGCTTAAACTTGAATACTTGGGTCATATCATCTCCTCTGAAGGAGTGCAGGCAGATCCCTCCAAGATTGAGAGTATGATATCTTGGCCAGCTCCTAGAGATATCAAGTCTTTGCGGGGATTTTTGGGACTCACTGGGTACTACCGAAAGTTTGTCAAAGACTATGGTAAGATTGCTGCCCCATTAACAGATCTATTGAAGAAAAATGCTTTTTTGTGGGGGGAACGAGCTCAACAAGCATTTGAGACATTGAAGTTGGCTATGACTCAAGTACCTGTCTTGGCGATGCCGGATTTTTCTCAACCATTTGTAATTGAAGCTGATGCTTCAGGATTTGGTGTTGGTGCAGTTTTAATGCAAAAAGGTAAACCTATTGCATATTTCAGTAGAATGCTTTCTTCTAGAGCAAGACAATGCTCTGTATATGAACGGGAGCTAATGGCCATTGTTTTGGCCGTCAAGCGATGGAATCACTACTTGATGGGTCATCATTTCATCATTAAAACTGACCAAAAAGCCCTTAAATTTTTGCTGGAACAACGAGTTATGGATGAGAATCAGCAGAAATGGGTTTCCAAACTCATGGGTTATAAGTTTGAGATCAAGTACAAACCGGGTGCTGAAAATAGAGTGGCTGACGCACTGTCCAGACGCGGGGAATCTGCAGAGTTACATGCCTTTTCGGTTTGGAAATACGAAGACAAGGAGGAATGGGACCAAGAAGTAAAACGAGACAGTAAAATGGCTTCAATCTTGCAAAGGTTAATTACAGGACAGCAAACAGACGACAAATACAGCTTGAAGAATGGATGTCTACTGTTTAAGGGACGTTTGGTTTTGCCAAAAGGATCATCGAGAATCCCAGGGTTGTTGAAGGAGTTTCATTCTTCTCCAATAGGTGGCCATTCGGGGTATCTTCGCACATATAAGAGGTTGTCTGAAAATATTTACTGGGAAGGTATGAAAAGGGATGTGCAAAACTTCGTTGCCAAGTGTGAAATTTGTCAAAAGAATAAGTCTCAAACTTTGAGTCCAGCTGGATTACTTCAACCTTTACCTATACCTCAGCATGTGTGGGAAGATGTAAGTATGGATTTCATTACTGGTCTTCCTAAATCTCATAAGTTTGACACCATAGTAGTTGTGGTAGACCGTCTTACTAAGTACGCACACTTTATCCCACTTTCTCATCCTTTTAATGCTAAAGATGTGGCTGGTGTTTTTGCTAAGGAAGTGGTTAAGTTGCATGGTTTTCCTAAATCTATTGTGTCTGATCGTGACCGTGTGTTCATTAGCCAGTTTTGGAGGGAGTTATTTAAAATGGCAGGAACTACATTACGCTATAGCTCCGCATATCATCCAGAGACTGATGGGCAGACGGAAGTGGTGAATAGGAGTTTGGAGGCATATCTCCGTTGTATGGCTGGAGAAAATCCTAAACAATGGTTCAATTGGCTAGCTTGGGCTGAATATTGGTTTAATACATCCTTTAATAGATCTGCCGGCATGACACCCTTTAAAGCATTATATGGGAGGGATCCACCATCGATTTTTCACATGGATGACACTACTTCTGCAGTGGAAGAAGTAAATGAACAAGTTCGTACTAGAAATTTGATCTTAACTGAGCTCAAAAACCATCTAGTACAGGCACAACAAAGAATGAAGAACCAAGTTGATCGACATCGCAGGGAAGTGAATTTTGAGGTTGGAGAAATGGTGTATCTCAAACTTAGGCCATACAAACTACGCTCTCTAGCTAAGAAGATTAATGAAAAACTCAGTCCCCGTTTTTATGGCCCTTTCAAGATTCTAGAGAAGATTGGCCCCGTAGCTTATCGGTTGGAGTTACCTGTTGGAGCACGCATTCACTCAGTGTTTCATGTTTCACAGTTGAGACAATGCTTGCAACCAACTACACCTACTCAAGACCTACCTCCGTTTCTTACAACAGAATTGGAGCTTCAAGTTGAACCTGAAGCAGTAAGGCAGATCAGGAAGCTACTTAATGATAAATGGGAGGTGTTAATCAAGTGGAAGAACCTGCCTGAATTTGAGAACACTTGGGAGGACTATGCAGTCATTGATCTACAATTTCCTGACTTTCACCTTGAGGACAAGGTGACTCATATAGGGGAGGGTAATGATAAGCCTCAGGTTATACAAACTTATTCCAGGAGGGCCAAAAATAACAAATTGAAAACTTAGTAACTGTCAGTTGACAGTTACTCATGTAGTGGGCAGTTTTATCTGGAGAAAGAAGGAAGCAGTAGGAGGGAAGATATTCAACAGAAAAATATAGAATCCTTGGGAGAGTTCTAGCCTCTCGAATGTCTAGAAATTTCATGTCTCGTAATCTTAGTAATATGTATTTTGGCTCTATGTCGCTAGTATATTGATTTCAGTCATTTTCAATTCAGTCTAGTATGTTATATGTTGTAATTTAGGAGTTATCAGTGTTGGAGTGGTTATTCTCAGACTTTGTTGAAGTAGATCCTGTGTTTTTCAGTATAATACATTAGTATTTCTTCCTGTTATTTTCTATTTCTGTAGTAAACTCTATCAGAAACCCTTACTGTTTTACCATATTGGGTCATTTTAGGCCTGCCAGTATAATTGTAGTCTGATTTTTAATATATTATAGGCTTTACTATGCCAAGATTGGGATTGGAACACCATCAAATGCTTATTATGTGCAAGTGGATACGGGAAGCGACATAATGTGGGTTAACTGCATCGGATGTGATCAATGCCCCAGAAGAGGATATCATGGTGTACGTTTCTTATGCTTTTGGTTGTATATCCTTATTCAGCTCTCTGTATATGCTTGCTCCCAGAAAAAAAGTAAAAGAAAAGATATCTGTCATGCTCTCTTCCTCCATTTCTAATCTAAATGTTTTTTTTTGGGCAGCTGGAGCTAGCATTCTACAATCGAAAGGATTCTCTCTCTGGTAAATTAGTTTCTTGTGGACACCAGTACTGCAAGGATGTCAATAAGGGTTCAGTATCAGGATGCTATGGTAACACGTCATGTTTTTTTAGTGAAACTTATGGAGATGGAAGCTACAGTTTGGGCTACTTTGTGGAGGACGTTGTTCAATATGACCAGGTTTCTGGTGATCTCCAAACTAAATCATCAAATGGAAGTGTAATTTTTGGGTAAGATATTTGTTGGATGTACTCTGAGAACAAGAAAATTCGTCAATAGCTTGTTGAAATCATATAATTCTCAAATGAAACTTGATGTCTAGGTTGTTGAAGGGGAAGTCCTAGGAAGAACATGGTATCATCTTAGGAGTCCGTCTTATTCCGTTTTCAGTTTTTCTTATTGATCCCCGTATTGTCTTCTATATTCTAGAATTATTCACAATTTGATCTTGATTTGGCTTTATTTTCCTTCTTTTCAGAGCAGAAGTAAATTAAAACTTTACTTTTTTCAGCCTTTCAGGAATCTTGAGATATTTCTAATGGGGTTGCAGGGGATAAGAAAGAGGGGAAGTAAAGGAGAGAAATGTCAGTTCCCTGGTTTAGCTTAAGAAGTAGGAGATAGAGTTCTTTGATTGCACATTTCTCCACATTCTCTTTTCTTGATTTCATCTCTCGATTCACTTTTTTAATTCCTGTAAAAGCAGAAACACAGAAATCTTGTTTAACTGTATCCTAATTTTACCAAATAACATAAGTGTTTCTCTAGAGGAGATGAAGAGAGGATTGCTAGGTATCATCCCATCTTTGAGTTTGAGTAAGGGGATACTTGGGGAAGTGAATCAAATAGTCCCTCTCTCCCTATGTGAACTAAATGCAGTCTATGTGACAGTGTCTTGAAAAACAGTCAATCTGTTGCTTTAGGTGATGCGAGGGTTCCTCACTTATTCTTCTCTGGTTGGAGTCTTTTGACTCTATGTTCACTGTTTCATGACTGCGTCTCAACCCTTTCTTTTTAAGTAGCAGTTCTCAGCTCCATTCTTGATAAAGTTCTATTTGGGTGCTTTCTTATCTTCTTTCTCCAAGTTATTGCTAAGTGCACGTGAAACGAGCTGCACCACTAGAACAATGTAGAAAATATTCACCAGCCTAGATCTAATGACATTACGTTGCCTGAAGGTGGATAATATTGAATCTCTAGCTCAGGTTTTGCATTGTAAGGTTGGCGCTCTTCATAATGGTTACATGGGCTTGTAGGAGCTTCAAACAAGGATCAACCAGAATGATATCCGGTACTGTGGAGTATCTAAAAGTGACTTGAAAGTTTGAAATTAGATACTTGTCCACAGGAGGCAAGGAAGTGTTTATTCAGAGCACACTATCAAGCATCCCTACATATTTCATGTCCGTTATATGCACTAGCTAATGTCACAGAAAAGCTGTAAAGATCCCAACGAATTTATGTGATTCTTAAGATGGGGCAACAACATTCCAATAGGTGAGGCGGGCGATTGTTACATCTCCAAACTGATGGGTGGGCTTGGGGGTTAAAGACTTAAGGATTTTCAATAAGGCCTTATTAGGGAAATGTTTAAGAAGGTTTGGGATAGAGAAGAATGCTCTATGGAGAGAGGTGATAGGGAGAAATACGGGGTTATGGAAGGGGGCTAGAGGATAAAATGTCACTATGCCTTTTGGATGTTGGCTTATGGAGGAATATATTCCAGGGGGTGAGAAGAGTTCAACAGTAATGTGTCTTTAAGGGTAGGGGATGGCAGGAGGGTAAGCTTTTGGGGACATAGGTGGAGTGGGGATATCACTTTGAGATTCACTTTTCCTAACATTTACAGAATTTCATGCCAGAAGGAAATGACATTTCAACGAGTCAGGAAGCTACAAGATAAAGATGTTCTGGGGATTCGAGATTTAGAAGGAACTTGTAAGCAGAGGCAGATTTGGAATTTTAAGCTTATTGGTTCCTACAACGATCTCAAGTTAATACACAATTGGATCAACGAAGTGGGTTCCAAGCTAAATATTCTTATACTTTTAATGAACTTTTAGTATAAATATGGGGTTTACGCAAAAGTTACTGGGTTCACGGGAACCGTAAACCTTGCATTAGATCTGCCCCTACTTGTAAGATTGCGAGGTGACAGAATGCCAAAGATCTGCCCCTACTTGTAAGATTGCGAGGTGACAGAATGCCAAAGCCTGGTTAAACACAAACAAAGCAATTTACTGGATTTCCGTGATGTTTGGAGGCAGGGGTCGAGGAATAGTGGTGTTTATTCTGTAAGTCTTATTACGAGAAGCTATTGGTTTGAGAAGTTTACATAGCCTTACCTTTCGGTTTGGATTCCTAAGATGTTCAGAAACTTGCGCATTTTTACCTGGCTAGCAGCAAGAGGGGCGATCTTTACAGTTGCGAATCTGAGGAAGAGGAAAATTTCCAACATCAGTTGGTGTTATATGTCTAAGGGCTTGGTGAAGACGTGGATCACCATCTTCTACGGTGTTTGATAATATCTCGTTTAGGGTGGGAACTTCTGAGATGGTTTGGTGTACTTTAGGTGATAGCAAGGCACTGTGAAAGAAATGTTATTCAGTTGGAATTTTGGTAAAAGGAGAATAAGATGTAGGGCATGGAGGGTTTGCCCCACTAGCACTAATGTCGTTCATTCGGAAAGAGGGAAATAAGAGAGCTTTTGAAGGGGTAGAGATTGGTTTCGCACCGTTGCGGAATAGCCTCTTATTTGCGTTTTGGTGCACCCATGAGGTCCCTTTATGTATATAAGGTTGGGTGTTCTTTCTAGAAAATCATATTTCTTTTTGTAGGTTTTCTACCTTTTGGTATACTTCTTGTACACGGGCTTGTTATCTTCTTTTTGTTTTGAAACTGTTGAACATTATTATTTGGACCCCATGATTGTGCTTTGATTGGGTTGGGATCAGGTGGCACATTTTCTATTAATTCGTTTATTGCATTTCCTCCTTTTTTTTCTCTTGGGGTAAGTTTATTGACATTCTTCCTCTTGTACGCGCAGGTGTGGGGGTACACAGTCTGAAGATCTAACTTCCTCGGATGATGCTCTTGATGGGGTTCTGGGATTTGGGAAATCAAATACATCCATGCTTTCCCAGCTGGCTTCATCTGGAAGAGTGAAGAAAATGTTTGCACATTGCTTGGATGGTGTGAATGGTGGTGGTATATTTGCCATTGGGAACGTTGTTAAACCGAAAGTAAACATGACGGCATTAGTACCAAACCAGTATGTAATTGTCCTACTAGTTTCTAATTTATTTTAGTAGTTTTTATGCATATCTTCTTGTTGGCTTTTAATATTTCAACCACCAAACAATTTTAAATGGTCCAATGTCTACCAGTAGCATTTTCCTAGGTGACCAATTCTTTTAGTTTATTATTTTTAAGTCTTCAACTTAAATTTTGAAATTATGTCTGTCATTGATTTGCCTCATTTCAGAACCTAGCTTTCTCTTTCAAGGCTTTGATGAGACACCTTCCTTATTCCTATTCATCAGAGAAGAAAAATAGAGGAGCCCTTATTTTACCATAATTTTGCATCATAATTTCACTTCAGGAATTCCGAGTATATAATTATGTCGATTTTTGAGTAATATCTAGGGACTTGTAAAAATCTTTTTCCTGGAACTGGCTTATTCCCAGACATCCTGTTCTACTGGAACATATAATTAGTTAAAGTCATTTATTGTTGTCCATCCTCCGAGTCTTGATGTCTTGGTTCCCGTTTAGAATCAGAATGACAGAGTTATAGGATGTAAAATTTAGCTCTTCAACTACTCTAGAGAGGGTCCTATCTGTGATAGAATACAACAACAATAAAACCAGTATAATCCTACAAGTGGGGTGTGGAGAGGGTAGTGTGTGCGCAGACCTTACCCCTAAAACATGAATTATCTGTATGGTGAACGATGAGCTTGATTCATACATTTATTACTGTTGAAGATATAATTAAGTAAATAAGAATGTACGTTCCCTTTAACAACCTAAGCTTTTAGATGAGACAGTCACACGCTTCAACATGATATTAGAGCAGGCAAGAGGTCTTGCGTTCAAGTCTCACTACCACCAATTGTCAAAAGAATTTTCACGTGCTTGGCCCATAAAACATAAAATCCGCACTCACACGAGGAGACGTTGAAAACATAATGATGTAAATAAATGGTACTCTCTAACAACTTAAGAATTTAGCTGATATGGTCACACATTTCAACACAAAGATGAGTTAATATGAGGCAGTAGTCCTAATTGCTTATGCTATATGTCTTTGTGTATGTTTTCATTCCTGCAAGTAGATTCATTGTGGTCCTTTTTGCGTGAGTAGAGAGCTGTTTCACTAAAAGAACTTATAGCTGTGGTCGAATGATTCTTGTGCGTCATTAAATATTCTTCTATTGTGAACCATGTTCCTATGTTCCTTCCGAGGAATGCCCTCTTTACTGGAACTATTTCATGGATCTCAAAATCGCCTATACATGCAAGTCACAATAAATGAACTCACTTGATATAGCTTCAGTTATTAACATAGTCAGTCTCTTTACCTTTTTTTGGGTTAATCTCTCTGTATATCCATCATATAACTTGTCTATTAAAAAACTCTTATACAACTGGTCTTCCCGGAAAATTTCACGTCTTTTGAGGTTTTGTTTTGTAATTCAGCATCATATATTCTCTGCCTCTTCGGGTGAGGGTAAGGTCTGCGTACACACTACCCTCCCCAGACCCCACTAGTGGGATTTTACTGGGTTGTTGTTGTTATATTCTTTTCTGAGCCGAGGGTCTATCGGAAACAGCCTCTCTGCCCTACCGGGGCAGGGGTAAGGTCTGCGTACACATTACCCTCCCCAGACCCCACTATGTGGGATTTTACTGGGTAGTTGTTGGTGTTGTTGTTATATTCTTTGCCCTTTACTTCGGCATATCAAAGNCGGCATATCAAAAAGAGTTTAATGCTTCATACTGACATGATCCTGAAATAACTTAGGCAACACTACAATGTCAATATGACAGCCGTTGAAGTTGGTTATCAAATTCTAAACTTTTCTGCTGATGTATTTACAAATGGAGAGAACAAGGGAGTTATAATTGACAGTGGAACAACATTGGCTTATCTTCCTGAGGTGATTTATGGACCACTAGTGAAAAAGGTAGCCAGCTATCTCCCTTACTCCTTTTTGGAGGTCAATTAGTTTCTTAAATGAATCATAAATGTTGGAATTTGAATTTCAGATGTTCAATCTAAAAGTTTGAAACATTTGTATTCTTTTAATTATTGTTAGATACTCTCCTGGCAACCTGATCTGAGATTACGTACAGTTCATGATGAGTATACGTGCTTTGATTACTCTGGAAGGTATGGTGCATACTGACGGAACTTAGTTGTTTGCTGTGTCTATAGATGATATGAATTTATTTTATTCTTTGTATTTTGTTCAACAGGTAGATACTTCATGCTGTATGCTTGTTTATCCAGAAACAGTAGCATTTGGAGTCGTTCTGCTCTTACATGTTATATTGTACTTCTTGAGATATAATTCATAAAGATGTGGAATTGTTTACCATTCTATCCGATTAAAGAGATATTGGCTACCATTTTTATCTCAAGATAGAACTGTCGCTTCATAATTACGTTAATGCCAAATTGATTATCTATTTTACTGGAAATAGGACGAAAATGGATGCGTTGTTCAATTTTACTTCTACCTTTCAGTCTTGTAACCTGATCTATTTGTAGTCCATTAATTTGCCTGAATTTTTTTAGCACTTCTGGGGTATTAAAATAGCTATCATTTTCATTGTATATTGATCTGTTGAACATGCACCCTGCTGCGGCATTTAGTTATTTCATCTTGACTGTTTCATCACTAGTCAAGAAAGAAAAAGGAACTAAAGATAAGAGAAAAAAATCTACTAATATGCAGGACTCATTCATCCCAGTGGTCAATGCTGAGATGAACTATGTTAATAAACGAGATCCTTAATTTTCTTTTTCTTGCTTTATTTCCTTTTCTTTATTTGTAGCACTTCGTTCTTGATTGTTTCTCTTCCGTCTATTACAGACCCCTGAGCCCTTCAGATTAACTAATTTGAATGTAACTCTGGCTTCCAACTTGCAGTGTTGATGATGGATTCCCTCAAGTTTATTTTCATTTTGAAAATTCTGTTTCTTTAAGAGTGCGTCCACATGAGTATCTATTCCCCTATGTAAGTATCTTATCTTTTGCAAATAATTTTTTTAGCCAGTAAAAAAGTATCAATTTTTCCTTTTTCCTGGTTTAACTTAGTAATTTTATGACTTTTCGAGTCTTGTCTATTTAGAATGGAGTTGGCGAGTAATTATATATGTAGAAATTGTAAAGCTTAAAATCAAATGTATTTGTTTGCTTAGTTTTTGGTGCAACATGACCTTGGCTAATTTGTTAGAAGCCCAAGACACGATTGACTTTCTTAGCTTCTACGACTCTGTGCAACTTGTAATGACCCCAATCTTTTGGATGTACTTTTGACTGGCATTCTCTTTTTTCCAGTTTACATCAATAAAATTTGCTATCTTATGTATCCCAAAAAAAAGTGTAGCAGTTGTCGGGCCATAACAAATTGTTGGATGGATAGACTGCCAATTGTTTAGCATTGAATAATTATAAAGCAGTAGATGTGCATTTGTTACTTAGCTGCGAAATAGGTGGCAACTTCCCTTTTATCATCTGGACATATTTGAGTTATATGATGTCCCAGCAATCTAGGCAGATTCCATGTTTCAATCTTTTTTCCTATGTAACTACTGCAACTGAAAACAAACAATTACTCTGAAGCATAGGTTCATATGAAACTTCTGCTGACATACTACAACAAAAACAACAACAACATGCCTCAAGCCCAAGCTTGTTGGGGTCGTCTGTTGACATCCTCTAAGAAAATTTTCCATCCTCCAAATCATCATTGCCACAATGATCTTCACCAATCAAAAAAGAAAGTCAATAATCAATCTTAAGAAAATGGACTTTGGACCTAATTCAATTTGAAAATTAGCTCGTGAGGTGAGGAATTCTCCATGATCATATGAGGAGACAACAGCATATTCCCTCAACAATGTGAGACACTTAAATTCCCCTTCCCGTATCTCAAGTTTGGTCATTTAGAGGGCTGCGTATGATTTTGGCCAATTATGGACTAACGCAACCCAAAAATTTAGCTCGTGAGGTAAGGAGACAACAACTCACTCCTTTTAACAAATATTGAAGAGAGATGAGGAAAATATAGATATATGCTCTTCTTCTTGACTAAACAATCATCTTTCCTGATTTTAAGAAAAGTTTCTTCTTATTACTGCACTACTTGAAGAAAGTAGTTCTGGACCTTCTGGTTATGATATACCAGTAGACGACATGCTGTGAATGTAATGTGAAGGACATCCAAGCAGCATATGTCTAACAAACAAGCAGAAAATGGGCGAGCTTTGAAGCGCTTTAACCAAATTATATCCTCATATTTTCAGAGCCAAAGTTTGTTGCCCATGTTTTCTAAGGTGTAAGCATGTATTCTCCTCTTTTTTGGGATAATGACATGTAATCTCATGTTTTTACTCTTCATTTTCTTCGATGATTCATTAAAACCTCTTTTTCTGCAATCTCAACCTCAAAATTTGCTAAGTGTTTACAAATGGAGCTTCTTGGTACTTAGGGAGGTTCTTGGCCCTTTGCAGTATTCCTTCTCTGATGTCAGCTATTGAATCTTTCAGTACTTATGAGTATTTTGTTTGGATATCTGGCTTAATGCATTTTAAGATAGTTTCTCTTTTGCTTTTTATAGATTGTAAGATTTTGAAATTGCAACACTAACTTAGCAGGAGATGTTCATTACTTTGGTGAGTTGGTTTAGTTTAGATAATGAGTTTGTATTATTATGACGTGAGGTAATTTTTGAATTGAAATTGGTTGCCACCCAGTTTTTCTTTGAATTTAGCATTTATAGTTAGAAATCTTCACTCACCAAGTCATCTGAAGTTGGAGGCTATCGCCTTCCTAGTCGAAGCTGAGATTGCTGTTTCAGGAATTCTATTTTTACTGCTGTGCCTTTTATCTCCTATCAAATTGGGTGGTGAAAGTAGTAATATTTGGCGAATCAAAGTGGGACTGTTCCTTTTCTATATAATTGCCCCTCTTTCCACCTGCCATTTCATTTCATTGTTGGTCATGCTTATTTATTTTTGTTTGAACACAAGTGGATAATTGATTTCTGCACGTTTTTAGGAAGATTTATTTTGCATTGGATGGCAAAATAGTGGTAGTCTATCTCGGGACAAATGGAACCTCACGGTTTTTGGAGGTGTGTTTTTCCTACTTACATTTATTTCGTTTTGATTGCAAATGCCAAGAGTATCAAATTGTTCAATTGCCTTTGGACTGGGGAAAATTTAGGTTTAATTTCCTTTCAGTTTGGCTGCAGAGGAGTAATAACTCCGGAGTACTTCTATGGTTGCCGTTGTTGACTGCTGCTTTAATTCCATTGTTCTGTATTTCTGTTTCACTTACGTATTTCTGTGATTCTCCTATTAGGTTCAACGGCTAATAGTTGCACGTTGATGACGTAGGCTTGTGTTATTTGCACACTCAACAACAACAACAACAACAACTACCCAGTATATTCCCACAAAGTGGGGTATGGGGAGGGTAATATGTAGGCAGGCCTTACCCCTGCCCGAAAGGGCAGAGAGGCTGTTTCCAAGCGACCCTCGGCTCAGGAAAGGAAAGGAAAAACAAAAACAAAACAAAAACAAGAGCATTAGTAACTCCAGCAGAAATCGCGTAATAATATCAAATAGTAACGGCCATAAATAACTAAACATAAGAACCACAAATATAAGAACCGTAAATAAAATGACATGCAATAATATCAAACAATACCGATCATAAATAACTATCATAAGAGACACAAACCAATACACAAATCATCTATAGATAGCCCTGCCAAGCCTCACCCAACCCCGCGAAAGGAGTACGAAAAATTCTGGGAGCCCATATCCTACAACCCTGATACTAGACCGCCAGACTTTCCTATCAAGGGCCATGTCCTCGGAAACCCGCATTCTAGCCATGTCATGCCTAATCACCTCTCCCCAATATCTCTTCGGCCTCCCTCTGGTTCTNACATTTACATACTATTTAATCTTATAAGTGAACTAGATAAAACGGAATCTTGATTCCGTTTTATCTAGTTCACTTATACTGGATCTTACGGAGCCTGCTCATGTACAACATGATTCGGACCTGATCATAGAAAAGATTCTCTTTAAGCGAACCAGCCTATCCTCTGTATAGGGCTTACACGGCGATTGGAACAAAGACACATTTGGTTGTGAATTCCCATGTGGCAGGCATATATCTACACAGACCAATCAATAGTTCAAGTCACACACTCCCCGGAGAATGAACTCCGGGAAGGTAGAGTAGAAATTTCTACCGGGGAACAGTTATTTGCACACTGTTGATGTCATTTTGCAACACAAGCATCCCAATGTTTTGGGGGACTCATGCTCTTTAAACATCCATCATTATCAACATCATCAATTTCGCTAGCTAACTAATGAATGGGAGACATTCACCTGTAGCAATATCACTTGTTTTGCTTCATGGTTACAGAAAAGATTGGTGGAAAGAGAATGCCCACATATGAGATCTAAACTGCTGTCTATTGTAAAGCCTGCCAACTATTGATATCTTAAACTAGCACTATTTTGCAAAGGGAGCTATCTCAACTTTATTCTTCCTCCGTCCCAATTTTTGGGGGTATTTCTCTAGACATAGTATTCAATAAAGAACGGAGACTTTTGATACATAGCTAAATGTGCATAAAAAACCAAAAACTACCTTTAGTACCAAATTGTTTCTTTGCATCAAGTGGGGCATACAACGAGATTTTTCTTTTTGAGACTGACAAAAAAAAAAAGAGTGCCAAACAAATTAGATACAGGAAATAAGTATTTTGACACTGTATGGAGTAGTCCTTGTCCATTTGAGTGTACTGCATTTAACCCTGGGTGTAAGTCAAACTGGTACAAAACCTGGTTTTTTGTTTTTGTTAATTGCTGTGATAATCTGATTAAAAATGCATGTGAGTTCTTTTAATCATGCTCTTATGTGTCCTTGGATCTCTCTGAACTTGAACATAATATTTGCGGTAAACTTCTGGTTGTGCTTGCAGATTTGGTTCTCTCAAATAAGCTAGTCTTGTATGATCTTGAGAAGCAGGCTATTGGTTGGACTGAATATAACTGTAAGTTGTATCAGTTTGATAGCTAAAATTATGTATTGATATATTGCATTTGAAGTTATGCTTCTCTGTTGTGTTAACATCTGTTGAATTTGAGCGACTGCGCCCATCCTGAAGAATTTTTCTCCAATCAGGGTAGTTTATCCATTGGGTAATCTGCTGCTCAAAAGATTAACAATCTTAGTGTTCCGGATTTTTATCTTCTTCTTTTTTTGGGGGGGAATTTTGCTACTCGAGTGTTCATGTTATGATAAGTACCGCAAAGAGAAAAATAATCATGCCTTCTGAGTTTTGACAATGGGATGTTGATAACACATGATATCTCGAAGTCAGTTTCATTATGATGAGTGCCCTGCCACTACGTAGATCATCTCTACTAATATTATTAATTCCTTTACATATGAACAAACTGAATGATGCTGTATGTTGCTTGAAATTTTGAGTTTAAAGAGATCTATTTATTGTTGCCCCCACTGTTCAGTCTGAGTTTTTACTCATCAAAATCTTATCTGTGGTTCATTACAGGCTCATCAAGCATTGGATTGAAGGATGAAATTACTGGATCAGTACATTTAGTAGGTGCTCACTCTCTGTCAGGTGCTTCTAGTTTGACTGCTCAAATGGCTCTAACCTTCTTGTTATTAGTAGCTCTGCTGCACCATTCTCTACTTAATGGGCAGAGCTGACATGAATATTAGCTCCTGGTACTCGAATCGGGATAGGAAGCATTTAATATTGAAAGGGATTCTTCAAGTATTGACACAGCAAAGCAATTCACTGAATGTCAAGTAGGGTGTGCATATTTTACATACAGGATTGGCTGATGATAGGAAAACTAAGATACTGAACACGGGACGGTGCCTTTTTGTTTGTTTTATAGAACAACTACTAGACCACTCCATTTTTGCATGAAGTTGGGTTGTACGTTACAAAATGCATAATGTAAATAGATCTCTGTATATATATAGTTTAATTTTGATCCTCAGGTTTCTTGACAAACTGAACACTTCTTGTTGTTGTCTTCTTATGATATCTTACTTATAGTTTGAGTTGTTTGAACATTCTTTGCTGGTATAAACTGCATTATGCTTAATGGAATTGGGTCGCGACTGCTGAGTAGGGGTAAGGTCTGCGTACACACTACCCTCCCCAAACCCTACTTGTGGGATTCCACTGGGTCGTTGTTGTTGTTGTTTGGAACTGGGTCGTGACAAACACAAGTTTTACTGCATTTTACAGAAAATCCCATATCATGTAATAGCTTTTCAACCGATCAACTAGGTATCCACGGCACAACCCTACCCACAACTACAACTAGCGGTGCTTCAGAAGACTTAGATTCTAAGGGCACTACTGAAAGCTTTTTTTTAGGTCCTGTAATAGCAACGTGTAAGCCTCGATGCTCTAAGCTCCCGCTATGTGCGTGGTCCGGAGAAGGGTCGGACCACAAGGGTTTATTGTACGCAGTTTTACCGTACATTTCCGCAAGAGACTGTTTTTACGGCTCGAACCCTGTAATGATCACAAGTACAAAAAACTTTCAGTAGCGCCCTTAGAATTTAAGACCGTTCTATATGCCAATCTCGATCTGGATTTGGTCAGGCAATTTTCAAATTTTAATACGTTGGACATCACATATAGCTGAAGGTTGAACAGTGACTACTACCCTTTACCATTGGATAGATCTTACTTAGGTAATTCTTGGACATTGGCACTCGACTTTCCACTAAAAAGTAAAAAGTACTTAAACAAAGAGATACTTTATGTAACATAAAGCCTAGCAGCTCTAAGTCATTATCTCATAAAATACCTTAACCAACAACAATAACAATCCAGTGAAATACCACAAGTGAGATATGGGAAGTGTAGTATGTATGAAGACCTTATCCCTACTCCAGACGGATAGCATGATTGTTTCCGATAGACCCTTGGCAAGATAAGATAAAAATGAGACAGTGTAACAGTAACAATAAAGGAATCTAGAAAGATAACACCAGCAATGTAATAACTAGAAAAAAGAACAAAATACCTTAGACCGAGATGTATATATGTGGGGATAGAGAAAAGACTACTCATGACTCGTGATGTCTTAGCTAGAGCTTATCTGGCCAACATTTTTGGTATGATGAGTATGGTTGGTAGCCCCTAACAAAAGTTTAATAGGGATGAAACGAATCGACCATGGTACACGTGTCATAATTGATTTGTGGCATACATTACAAGATATATACGTCTAAATAAGAAAATGGTCAAATTTGTTGTTGTACTATATGAAATTGAGTAATTTTGCTTTTCGTTAAACTTTTTGATATGATGTTAGCTTCCCCTAAGAAAAAGAAAAAACGATATTGTATAACCGCCGTAAAAATAATAACCGAAAAATGTATAAAATTTGTATATATATATATATAGACATTTTATATGTTAATATACNTATATATATATATATATATATATATATATATACAAATTTTATATATATATATATATATAAATATATACAAATTTTATACATTTTTCAGCTACCAAATATAATAATTTCTGACACGAGCTAAAAGTGATAAAACCCCTTAAAAAAAGTCTCATTTTTTGTTCTCGGCATTAAAGCCAACCTGAGGAATATTTTAAATCACATTCAAAAGTTGAAGGATAAATTTGGATATTTTCTCATTAAGTAAATATGTGGAATCCGCCTGTTTCACTATGGAGTTGCGTTGATGAAAATGATTAATATAAGACGATTTGCTAATTAACAATAAAAGAATCCAAATTTGGATGTTTTCTCATGTTTAAATTAAGTTAGAGGTAATAATCATGTATTTGTTTTATTTATACCTAACTTGGTTTGTCGTTTTCAGGCCATAGATAAGCATCAAAATGTCCATTTTATTAATAGCTGTTTTCCCTGCCAGCTTCGACCAATTTTAGTTTGAAATATTCTAAACATTAAACGTGTATATATTGTTTTTGTTTATAATGATAGTGTTTAAATCAGTAAACCTGTAATTATGTAAATAATTTTTTTTACTTTTAATAATTAACATGGAAGGAGGTAAAACTCATTACATTATTAATAAACAAGTCATATAATTCGAACTCGTAACATATATCTCTTGACTCTCAATTTAAACATGGATAAAATTTCACTATAAAATGTCAGGAAAAAATGCATGCATACCCAAGAGCGGAGCCACAATTTTAGCTAAGGAATATCAAAATTTAAAGAAATAGATACACGAAAAAGTCAAGATGATTTAATATATATATATATATATATATGAATTTTACCTATCGAAACAGTGTATTTTTCCGATAAAGAGGTATCAGTTGACACACCTTCGAGCTATGCAGCTCCGCCACTGTCAGCATACCATGTTTTGTCGTTAACTAAACTATATATAACATCAAGCTAATAAACACATGCAATATATTCAACTGTATAAAAGAATTTAATATCGAGTAATATTATATTTAACTACATTAAATTTAAAATAATTATATTGTCGTCTATATTATATTGCCATTTCATAGTACGACCAGCTGTAAATATCTTTGTCAGGTAGTTTAAGTACCATTAACCACTAAATCTTTTGGTGATTTACACATGCAAAGTTTCAATCAATACAACTCAACATTAATTATCCTTTCACTATCAAAGTTTTCATTTTCGATTCTTATATTCTACATGACTAAAATAATCTCTAGAATTAGTCAATTATTTCTTTGGTTAGCTAGCTTATTACACCTACCAAGAGTCATTAGCTCTTCCTTTTACCCCTTCATTTTTTTTCTTTTTTTTTTTTTAGGTCCAAGATATATGGGAAGGGTAATGGAAATATTTTTGTTGAGAATCATTAATAGAACTGCTACCTTTTAATAATGGTGATATACGTATCAATTTGCGCGTACTTCGATTAATTCATCTAGTATTATAATTTTCCTCCGATATATATATATATTATAATTCATCTTTATGGATATATATATATCCATAAAGCTTAGACAAACAGGAAAAAATCACCTAATATTTTCTGTCTCTACCAACAACTCGTCCCTTTTAAAGAATCGTTAAAGGGACTACATATAATACTTTTTTTTTGGTAAATAAAGACATTTATTCATAACATAAGTCTTAGTAGTCATTACAACTTGAGATTTGTCTAGGCCACGCAGTGCCTATCCCATCTCTATCAAAAGCTGAAATAGCAAATACAGACGGATAATAGTACAAATCTATATTAGCAAAAGAGTCCAAACTGCATCCGTTCTTGGCTAAGGCGTCCGCTACCCCATTAGCTTCTTTGAATGCATGTTTCAATGGTGGCGATCCCACCTCAGCTAATAGGAACCTGCAATCATCAATAATATTTTGGTAAAGCACATTTTCATTGTTAATCAGGTTAATAAGATCCTGACAGTCTGTTTCAATGACTAAAGGGGTTAGTCTTTTTTGGATGGCTAGTTGTAGACCCTGTAATAGGGACATGGCTTCCATTTGGATATTTGTTGTATTGGCGAAGCCCTTGCTAAATCTTAGTACCCATTTTTCTCCGCTATCTTTGAAGACTCCCCCTGTACCTCCCTTTCCTGGACTACCTAGGCATGAACCGTCTATGTTTAGTTTGAATGTCCCTAGGTCTGGCGGGTCCTATTTAATGAGGATTGTTTTTTTTGGTAGAGAGGAATTTCTGAGTGCTGTTAATCACTTTCTTGATGTTGGGGTATAGACTACATATAATACTTAAGAGATAATCAAAATCTTGCATGAGTTTGTATATTGGCTAATTCTCATTCAAAGTCTTTGTTGATAAGATATTACGTAGGATTAATTAATTTGGACGTAATTCGTGAAGAAAAATTTAGAAGACTTGTTCCAATAGTTAATTGAACATTGAACACATGCATGGTTACTTCAAACATAGTTTTCCTCTGGTAGATTTACTACTTCCTATTTAATTTTTAACCTTTCTACTTTATGTTTTTTATTCTTATTTGGGAGAGAGGTAGGTTTGAAATAGATGAATGAAGATATATATTTTGGTAAAAATTGAACCTTACTCCTGCATTTTATAAAATAGATACTTTAATAGTGAGCTAATCAATTCTCTTCATTTACATTTAATTTTTTTTGGCTTTCTTTTAACGCTTTTGGTAATACTCGAAAGTAAATACCATAATTCTTCTGTCGGTCAATAACCACATATATTGCACGGTAAATGTGAAGAAGTAGATTATTATCTCGACAACAATGAGCTACGTTGGTATTTACGGTAAATCCCCCCTGTTAAGTAGTCATGTATATGTTCAGAACACCCGCTTTGCTAACAATAATACATCTCTTTGATCATTTCTTCGCATGTACCTGCAATCGACCTATACAAAGAGCTCTTTTCAACTCTCATTCCTAACAAGTCAAAACTGCTGACACCCACTGTATCTTACTTTAGGGCCTATTTCTTGTATTGGAGCGCTCCGATAAATATATTTAATTTAATTTGAATACACTCAAATTGTTCATATATCTTTTCCATTAGTCAATTGAACACATAACCGAGCTCCTAAAGTATTCATAATAGATAATTCAGGGGTAACTAGGACTTAATAAGAAGCTAAGTCAACCTGCTTCTGAAAGTCTTTAAATTTTTTTCATTTTTATATCATATAACCACGTTTTCATTGACCATTTGCAAGTGAAAAATTTATAGAAGTTTTTAATTATTATTTTTTTTAAATTTTTTTTAGTTATCTTCACTAGATGTGAAAAGAGAGACATGAGGAGAGAAAACAAGTACTCACTTGATAATTAATTGGGATCGTTGAATGACTTTTCTTTATGCGAAATACATGAACAGCTCCTTGTAGTTGTCCATAACGGTCAGTTGGACACCTCAATTTAGCATATGACCAGACAGACACTTCAAGTGACTATTAAATGTGTCAAATAGACACTCCAGTGCAACAGACCATGAGCGTGAATTACAATTG